TTTCGTTGTTTTCCTCTTATAGTTGATGTGTTTCCCTCGGTTTTTGTTTGTAACCCGGATTTGTTTTCTCTCAATCGATTTATGACTTTTGAACAGCGGTATACTACTGTTGCCTTTATTTATAAGCATTGTATTTTTTGAATATTTTTTTATAAACAGAAGAAAGGCGGTGGAACAGTAAATGCTGACCATTTCGGAGTACTTGAGATTTTGTGCGCTAACGATTGCTTCATCATACATTTCCTCGCCATGCGTTGTGGACTGTTAGGTCTTTTTGACATTATTCAGTGTCCACACTGTTCTCCTTGATGAGGAAAATCTTTTATTGAAAATCCTGGTTTCGGGATAGTATCTGACTATGCATTATTGAATATTTATACAGGTGAAAAATTAGTAATATCAGTGCATGTTTTGTTGTCTCTCGGGGAATATTTGTCTATTAAGGCCCATAGAAATGTACATATTTTCTCACAATTAATGTGCAGTTTTGTGAACATGAGCTGGTGGCCTTGCACTAGTCTTAGTATAGACTCAGTGAATATCCCATTCGTAAAACTACATATATCTTTGTTAATTTTATTTTATCGTAATATTTTATGATTTTTAAAAATTTTAATGACTTTCTAACGATACAGAAGACAATTTTCATTTTAAACACATATATCATTTAAAGTGCACTATTATGTATATAGTAACATTCACTTAAAGGTACAGCAACAAATTGTAATGTGTGTGAAATTTGAATTAGAAATTAAATGTCTTTATAATATAGAAGAACATGTCTTTATGATACAAGTTAGTCTTATGTCGGCTAGGCATCTTTAAAAACACATATTTCATGTAAAAGTGCAAAACTACATTTGTTAAATAAAATTCAGTCACAAAAATCTGTATAGGTTCTCTTCCTTGTTATTACCAAAAATGATTGCCTTTATTTTGCAAAATATTGAATAGAATATGTGTATTCAGGGGTGTTCACTGCTCTGCTTCTAAGACTGATAAATTGAAAGTATATGAATAATGGATCTAAAGATGCAGAAAAAAATGAAAGGTGTGTATCCTTGTTTTTTTTTTTATTTAGGCCTTTGAAAATTTGGCGGGAAATTTCCATACATTAAACATTGACACATTTTTTTCTTTCACGGCTATGAAAAAATATTAAGGGTGTTTTCAGATTGTAGAAAATAGCTTTTTAAACTATATGTAATAAAATTATGAAAAGCAAAATATGGGTTAGAGGGCAAAATGTTTGATGATACTACATGATTAAAACCAGAAAGATTCCAAATATATGACAAAATGCAAGAAACATGACTAGCGAACAAAATATTGTGTATTGTTTCATGTGACTGCAATCAGTAAGAAGCCATTTTATAAGGCAACATCCTAATACATGTTCCGTTCTGCGACTGTTCTAAGTATAGTTGTTAGAGGTTTATAATTGTTCAAAGTAAGACAAAACATCACTTCAAAAATTATATATATTTTCTAAATAAGAAGAAACATCAGTTAACATATAACAATTTTAATTAAAGAGTTAATATATTATAAACTTGTCGAAGTTTACCTGTTTTTAAACATTTATCGATGTTGAATATGGAATGCAAGATATTGGACGAATAACAAAGTGGAAACCATACCATATATTTACTTAGATGTTTGATAATAAAGCATGTCACTGGGTACTAGATATTAGACGGAAGTTGGTAACAGAGTACTGTCTGCAGCGTGTAAATAAGTCCATCTTAATGCACAAAGAGAGATAACACAGTTCATAAATTGGAAGCTCTGTTTAAACCGTTACTTATGACTTTGAATGTCCCTTTGGTATCGTCGCCTCTCTTTTACAGGTTTACATAATGATTTTTTTTGCTCGATCATGGAATCATTTATTACCGGAAAGAGAGGGTTTCCTACTTTTAACTAAAGCATAATTTTATTTTAGAATAACGTATTCCCTCTTTAAGAGGTTATAATCCACCACTCCCTTTAAACAAAAGTTGGTTTTCGAAAATGTGTAGTTAGATAGAATAATGAAATAAACACTTCACTGGTCTTTGCATCGGAAATAAACACATTTATTCTAAATTATTGTTGGCATGATACGGGCTATGTTCTTTTTGTATAATTTATGATGGCATGATACTAAACCCCTAACGGGAGGGATTGTGTTTGATTTTCATATGATGAAGACATAATTTTTCGATCAATTCAATTGAGGTCTGAAGCTGGCATGTCAGTTACTGCTAGTAGACCTGTGTTTATTTATAATTTATAATAATTATTGTCATTTTACTTGTTTCGTCTATAACCTATTCTAACATCGGACTCGGACTTCTTTTAAACTTAGTTTTACTGTGAGTATTGCTTTTTACCTTTACTGTTTAATCCTTTTTGGTAATATCATTTTGGCGTGGCGCGGTACTTACACATTCCGTCATTGTGTTCTTGTGGTATGGTAATTTCTTGTATTCTTGTCTTTCATATTTGCCTATGTTCTTTGTCTTTGTACCATTTTGTTTTTCTTTGTTGACATATTTGTTTGTTTTTATAGCGATTTAGATTATAACACAATGTTGACTGCTGTACCACCATTTTTGACATTTTTACCTATTATGTCTATTTGTTTTGTTCACACATTGTTGTAAATATAAAGGAGTTTTATGCGACTGTAATACAAATTAGAGATAAAGGTAGCAATAAAACGTGGTTTAATCCACCTTTTTATTTACAAGTAAATGCCTGTACCAAGTCAGGAATATGACGGTTGTTTTCCATTCGTTTGATGTTTTGATGGTTTCATTTTGCCATTTGAATTTTCCTTGAAGTTCGTTATTTTTGTTATTTTACTTTTTGATGTCTCTTTGTTTTCTCCGGCTTGGCTTGAGGTAAAAAAAAGGGGAAAGGGGGGGGGGGGGATGTTGAAATCAAACAAAATGTTTTAACCCGCCGCATTTATGCATCTTTCCCTTGCTAGGAACAGCTAGTTTTTGTTAGTCTTAAGTGTTTTTTTGGGTGTCATTTATATGTTTCGGAGTTTAGTGTGGCGTCTTTTTTTCTGAATTTATATACATTATTAATAAGGGGTACGCTGAACTCGCCTTCGGTTTCAGGATTTTCTCGCTGCCTTGAAGATCTATTGGTGGCCTTTGGCAGTTTTCTGCTTTTTATGTGGTGTTGTTGTCCTTTTGACCCATTTCCGCTTTCTATTCTCAATTCTACTTGATAGATATCGTGCGTCCGAAGCGTCTTTTTTATTCATCTTCAACAGAAACGCTCAATCCTAAACCTTTAAAAACCAGGGATATGTAAATCAAAACGACAATAGTTTACCGATGTTCATCTATCGTAAATCAATTAGGAAAGGAAACAGCAAAGTAACAGTGAAAAATTGATGGAATAGCATGGACTCTAAAAAGGAACAAGAAACGTATCGACATGGTAAGCGTCTCCCGCGTTGCATCCCTTACCCAGTATGCAAATTAACATGCAGTCAATATTTTTGATAGATATAAGAAGATGTGGTATGAGTGTCAATGAGACAACTCTCCATCTAAGTCGCAATTTGTAAAAGTAAATCATTGAGTTTAGATAACACTGAAACGGTAGAAGCTGTATGACCGAAAATAATCTAGGTAGAATAGGTGAATTTGAATTCAGGTTCAAGATTCCAATTAATAACTACAGTGGGACTATAAAAGGGTTATCTGACATAACAATTTTTGGCTTTTTAAAGGAGAATATCAGAATCAACGAATCAAGTCAATTTATCTAAATAAAACTAAACTGACTAATATAACAAGCATGTACGGTTAATCTTGAAGGTTTTGCATTAATCTATGCTCATATCTCAACTACCAGGATTTTCCGTACACACTAAATACATTGTGACGCCTAACCATCAAGCGCACAAAGCTTAATAAATTGAAATGAATTACTAAGTTAACCCTTATATATTTTTTTAATTAAAAAGATAGAGGATAAACTATCTTAAGACTTAAAACACGTTTCTTCTTAAGTATGAATATATAAACAAAAAGAAGACAATGAATTTGTAAATAAAAAGCAAAAGAAGACAATTTGCAAAAAGTACCTGGAGTCAGCTTAAAAGGGCTTAGTCAGATTGAACATGCTTACTTAACGTCAAGTGCCAGACATTCCATGCATATCATGGACGAGAAAGAAATCTAAAACATTACCTCAGTTTAAAAAAGAAAAAAAGAAAAAGTCACACGCGCATGGCGAAAAATTCCTCTCTACCTTAAGAGTTTGGTTCGTTGGATATAGACTCAAAATTCGATATGGTAAAGGTCACATATGGGCCTTTTAGAGTAATTAATATTTGTACGTCGAATGCATTAACAACATGATGCATGGTCTTTCTTTGGTTGTCTAAAAATTTGTCTTTAAAAGAAAGCGAAATGAACAGTAAAACACCAGTTACTTAAAATGCGTGGTGCTTTCATACAAATACATAACAAAGAAATTTATTGTTGTGTGTTTTGTTGATTGATTGTTAGTGTCTTAACGCCACTTTTAGGCGCCACTTTTGAGCTATTTCGTGGCGGCCAGTTTTTCTTTGTGGAGGAAGCCGGAGTGCCCGGAGAAAACCACCGTCATTCGATAGGAAATTTGACAATCCTAGTCAATTAAGATTGGTTTGTTTTGTTGATGTAAAAAATAAAATGAACATATACACAATACAACTCAATGATTACATGGGTTCTAATAATTCCATATTATTTTTGAAGCAAGGAGATTTCATTTAATAAATTAAAAAAAAAGAAATGTGGTATGATTGCCAATGAGACTATCAACTAGAGACCCACTGATAACGTATACATGTCACTGTACGGCCTTCAATATGAGCATAACCAATAATACATAATGTGCATCGTAATTAATTGAATATTTTTAAAGTACTATGAAACAGCTACATTGTAAGGTATGTTAAATACTAGTATGTGATTTTATTTTTAACTTCTTAAAGTTGACACATTTGAAAAATTATATTGAATATTAGTTTCCGAAGGAAGGCACCATTTGATATGTCATACAAGCAATATTTGATGAATATATATTATGTTTTCTGTCCAAAAGACACCATGTTTTCAGTATATATTATGTTTTTGTCCTAAAGGCACCAATTGTTGAGTATATTTTGAGTTTTCTGTTATGCCCTTAAGAGCACGCCTTTTACTTAAACATGATTCAAATCAATCATCTCTTCTAACTGTCGTCGGCGTCGTCTCTAAAGTAATAAAATAGAATATTTGTCTAAATGTAAAAACGAAATAAATAAATAATAGCGAATTATGGTAAATAAAAGACTATTAAAGTATGGTAAGTATGATATGGTATTTAAACCAAATGCAAGTAGTCGCAGTGTTGAGATACCATTCAAAATGGGACAGAACCCCCCTTTTTCGCCCTACAGAGTACATAAAGATAAAACGTTCAAATAACAAGCAACAATTACCAAACACAGAACCGAAAATAAAAAAGGATTTAGAAACTTTCCCACATGATAAACCAGGGATTAATTAAGTTCTCCGGATGGGCCAGCAGTGTCTGATCTACTGGTTATATAATTAATATAGATATCAAAATGAATTAAGCCTGATCTTTGTTTCATTTTCTGTTGCATAAACTATGCTAAGTATGCATAGGTAGGCATTTTTAAGGTGCAAGATTGTCTTATATCATATTTTATTGCAGCCATTAAATGTCATATCGGTTAAAAATAGAGAGATAGAAGATACCTAGGGGCATAAAGAAAATCAAAACTCCAATAAAAACAGACAATAAAATTGAGAATTCAAATAAGGAATGTGTCAAAGAGACAACATCCCGACCAAATAACATAAAACAGCTTAAGGCCACCAATGAGTCATCAACACAGCTAGACATAAAATAACATGACTTAAAACCAAAAAGACGAAAGTAAATACAACAACAGATTATCATCACATAGAAAACTAAATACTTAACACGAACCCCACAAAATTCTTGGGTGAAATCATGATCTCCGGAAGGGATATCAGTTCCTCCTTCAGATGAAGCATCGTCGGGTTGATGAAGCAAGTAACAATCCGGGAATAAGTCACTTTCAGTAATGTCGAGATTCAATAGGCGTCAACCAAAATATAGAGAATTGAACCCTTGATGAAATATTTTCCTTGTAAGAAGTTAACCTCAAGTAAATCATAATAGGAAACGAACGGCCTGGATAGCCTCATTAACTGGGAGATACGTATTTGGAATGTAGGAGATGCTGGAATATTGCTACATAGAAATGTTTCCAATTGAAAAATTGAAATCATTTCTCTTGTGGTAAAGTTTAATTCTCATTCGACCCGCATTGTCAATTTCTAAAGTCAAGATATTAGGCAATCTTAATGTTTTCTGATTTATTTTTCCTTTCTTTCAATGTCAGTGTTTTTCGACTAATGGGTTTGAATATCATTGTTATACACATATGTTCGTTAATAACTTGACGATAACTATAGTTTGGAATTACTCAACGTCGATAACTATAGTTTGGAATTACTCAACGTCATTTTCTTTGTCGGACTGTTTATGACGTCTTTTTACTTAAATCCATTGGATGTTGCATGTGTCCTGATTTGTATTTTAGTCCTAGATACATTATGGTTTTATTAGTTGCGATCAGCTTTCGGTAACTATAAGTACTCTTAGATCTGTACTTTGTGTCCTTCGTGTGTTTGTAAGTTTGTTTGTGCTTTTGTCTATCCTATTCAATTGATTTTTATAGTTTGTTCTTATGTTGTTCTATTACATCACTGTCATGGGTAAGAGGAATGGTTTGACGCCAGCAAACATGTTTAACCCCGCCACATTCTGTTTGTGCCTGTCCCAAGTCAGGAGCCTGTAATTCAAATATTGTCTGTTGTAGCTGTATACTAGTATCTTTTTTGTTTTTTGTTTATTTGTCTTGTACGTAAATCAGGCCGTTAGTTTTTCTCGTTTAAATTGTTTTACATTTGTTATTTCGGTGCCTTTTATAGCTTACTATGCGGTATTGGTTGTTCTTATTGTTGAATGTCGTAAGGTGACCTATAGTTATTAACTTTCCCGCTATTTGGTCTCTGGTGGGGAGTTTTCTCATTTGCAATCATACCACATCTTACAGTCTTGTTTTCATTATTCAACTTCACTGCAAGTATGTTCCACAAGTCATAAATGTCGTCTTATTAATGTTAAACTTTAGTAAAAAGACGAAATAAAGCGAAGGGACATTCAAACTCGTTAGTCTAAAAAAAATCTGACTATGTCTTGGAAAAAAATGAAAAACGATTAGAAGACAATAGTAAAAAAAACACAACATAGAAAACCAGAGACTGAGCAACACGAACCCCACCAAAAACCGTGATAGTCTCTTAAGTGAATTAAAATATTGATAAAGACGAGAAACCTCTTTCTTATCAGTGTACAATGCTCACCTCGTCGTCGTCTTCTGATGGTCTAAATGTCAATCCGTAGTCGTCGGTTTTATTTATTCGTGGTCTTGTCATGTTATTGTCTCGTTGATCTTTTGGTTTTACGGCAGATGACCATCTCAATTTTGAAACCAATTTTGCAACACCGAAATATGCAATAACACCAACAGCTGAAACACCTACTACAGTCCCCGCCGTTATGGGTGTTAATGGAATACCTGTTATGAAGTTTGAATTTAAATTTAATTCATAATTTCACGTGCATAGTTTTGGAATATTAAGATTTTGATATGTTATATAAACACTTTTTTAAGACAAAATTATGACCTTGAGATGTCTTGGTATTGAGTCGTTTGATAGCTGTATCAGACATATATTTTATTTCGTATTTATCACAAAAGAAACTTGATAATTGAAATAATTCAAAGAGCAAAAAATAATGTTAAATACATTTTATAGACGCTACTCCGGTTATTCTCTGTAAAATCTTTGTTCATAACATTATTCGAAAAACTATGGTGTTTCTACCTAAATGTATATATAAATCAGATTTGGCACATTCAAAACTTTGTTTTTGCATGTCTTTAATACTCTTCAAACTGCCCAATGGTGATTCTTATGCGTAATTCGCGTTTGGCGATCCATAAACTAGCTTTTGATACGCCAGACGTGCTCGTCGACTTCTTAGGCCTATAAACCGAATATTATGACAGTTTGATCCAAAAATCGAAAGTATACTGACAACGCCATTGCTAAAATAAAAATACCAACAGACACACAATAGTACACAAAACACAACATAGAAAACTAAAGACTGAGCAAAACGAACCCCACCAAAAACTGGCGGTGATCTCAGGTGCTCAGGAAGGGTAAGCAGATCTTGATCCACATGTGCCTCCCGTCGTGTTGTTCATGTTAGTATAAACCCGGTAATACTTCTTGGTAAATTCAGTATGTCACATTCGGGTTAAAAGGGACTTTTATTACTGAAGTATATATACTGAAGTTTGACAAAAATATAGTAGTTTCGACATTTGGAACATATCCAATATTATCTGTGAAACGGATATTCCATAACGGTCAACCAACTCGTAAAATTTACGACGGGAAGGTTTCAACTTCACAACTTGGAACTCTTGTATTAATAGCTTCCTTGTGAGCACCAACCCTAAATCAAGGAAATCATGATAGGAAATACAAGCCTTGGAATATCGTATCAACTGGAATATAAACTACAAATTTTGTATCGTTGATGATACAGGAAAAGAATAACTATTTAGGCAGTAAAAAGAATAACTATTTGGGCCGTAAAACATACTACATATGCCACCAACACCCGACCCATACGAGTTCTGTTGAATTTTGAGCAAAATCATTTCTAGTAAGAATATATGATACATACTTGTAGCAAACTAGCAAACTAGCAAACTGTGTTTTTCGATTACTTTTGTCAAACAGAAAATAATCATATCTTGTTTTACACTATAGGGAAATTGAACATATGCCATTGCAGTCGTTTTGTAAGCGGACATAACTTGAAAATTAAACACACAAAATGTCTACATTTCCTTAAACTTAGTGAATCATTCATTAAGTAAATCATACATATCATATTGACAATTATTCAGCAAACATTTCTTTTTAATTCAATGGTAAAAAGTAAAATAACAAAAATACCGAATCCCAAGGAAATATCAAAACGGAAAGTCCCTTATCAAATGGCAAATTCAAAAGCTCAAACAACATGTATCTTTGTCTTGTCCACCTAACTACATTTTGAAACAACAATTATCTATAAGGAATACTCATGATATAAGTAGTTGATATCTAAATTTTACATATCAACATCACTCACCGCTTGTTTTGACATTATTTAATACTTGTTGTTGTTGAACATTCCTAATTGTCGTTTCCTCCAAAGGGAAAACTCCATGGTCAGTTTTCGTAGATAGTGTCATCCTTGGTACATCAGATAATGATTTCTGTTCTGTTTGTACAACGGCAAATTCTGGATCTAAATTTGTGTTAATGGCAATGGATGTTGGTTCCTGTGTTGAATGAATGACGGTTGATGTTGGTTCCTGTGTTGTGTGTTCTTTTGGAACTATTTTTGATACCATTATTGTCTGTGTTAGTTGTGTTGTTGATTCATCGTTGTGGACACTCACAGGTACAATATCCGTTAACCCTGAGGCAACGTCCACAGATGTATCTGTCATTTTAGGAATAAGCATTACAATATATTGAAGTTTGACAAAAATATACGTGAAACTGGTGTAAATTTATGCAAAGCAGAAGATTTTGACCTTTCGATTTACGCCCTGTTTCTTTTTTTCAAGTTCATATATTTCTGTTTACAGTTAACCAAAAAACTTTTGCAATCGAATTATTTATCAGATTTTAGCAAATAGATTAATAAGGCGACTATAAATCGGATCGGATCCTCAATGCTCTTCAACTTCGTAATCTAATTGACCTTTTAATATGTTTGATTCAAGCTTTTAGTAGATGACCCTCGCGTTTGACGTACAAAATTATAATTCTAATATATTGTCTCTTCTCTAAAAACAATAAAATAAGAAAACTAATTTGGAAATGCATAGATCAGGCTTGACGCGTAGACATTATTCCGTCCTTTTTTTCTCTTGTGTGACATCAATCACCGAATTAGACTTAACACCGACTTTGTTATTACCATGAGCAAAGCAACTGGTGCAACATGTGGAGCATGATCTTCTTATCATTCTGGAATACCGGACATTTGCGCCGGTCTTTTTGGAGGGTACATGCTATCAAATAATTGGATTTGTTTTAGTGTTTTGTAGACTGTTGTTTGTCTTCTTGTCGTATTTCTCTATTTGTCATGATTTTGTAAGTCTCTTTGACTTATCAGTTTTTATTTTCTTAGCGATCTCTTCTGCCTCTTTGTATAATATTCAAATTAAGCGCAAACGTAGTTTATCGATGATCAAATGTCATAAATAGATTTATAAGACGAATCAATGTAAGCGACTTATATTTTTTCTTTTATTTATATACTAAATAACATACCAGTACAGGATTGAAAAACATCCTCTGTCAGATTTGATATAAGGATTTTGTCTATTCTTCCAATTACAGTACAATCAGCATTAACGAGGATATTTTCTTTCGTCAGTGCTTTTATGAGGAGATACAAGTCTAACTGTGTACAGTCGCACTGAAGTAGGTTATTTGTGATGTTTCTGAAATACATACAAAGATGCGATGAAAGATACCAGAGGGACAGTCAAACTCATAGATCGAAAAAATCTGACAACGCCATGGCCAAAAATAAAAAGACAAACAGACAAATAATAGTACAGATGACACAACATAGAAAACGAAAGACTAAGCAACACGAATCCCACCAAAAACTGGGGGTGATCTCAGGTGCTCTGGAAGGGTAAGTCATCCAATCTAAATACATTAAGAAATAAAAAGTTTGAATCAAAAATATTTGATTGAACAAAAGTTTTATGAAAGACACGAATTTCCCAAATAAAAACCAAACAGAACAAAATTATCAAATCATATGAAAATCCAGATTTTAATTCTGTTAACGGTTCTGAAATGTATATATATTTTGTATATGAATATGTGGTAGAAAAGGAAATACATTATGTAATGGATATAAGGTAAACATGGAAATAAATGTCAATAAAAAGGGAAATCTTTTTGTATATAACCATACGGTAGAAAGGAATTACAGTTTGTATATGTCTTTTATTATACTCCCTCGGGCAAAGTTAACCTTCGATGGATTTGGCTATTTGCTAGGTAATTTTAGTCATATAGTACTTCAACTGTTTCGGTTCTTATACATTCTTGGCTTGTAAATATTCGGCTTTGAGTGTTCCTGATGAAGTTAAATCAAGAAAAGTGCTTCGGACGCATTAAATTAATAACGTGTTGTTTTCAATTATTTTAGGAATAATTCGAAAACATTTTGAAGGCATACGAAGCTACAAGCCTGGTATCTTTGATGTTTTTGTTTTGTTTGTGGCATCAAGGAAGACTTGGAATGGCAGTTTGTACATGACTTTAAGGTAAAAGTGCAAATTTCATTTTGTAAATGACTATATGAGAGTCATTGATGAGTCTTTTAAGACGAAACGCGCGTCTGGCGTACAAAATTTTAATCCTGGTATCTATGATGAGTTTTTTGCTTATAACTATTAGGAAGAATGGAATCACTTTTTGTTTTGAACTAGAAGTAGGAAGCGATGTTACACTAGATTTGTTTATGCTATGGTCATCACGTTTATGTTGACATGACTATGATTCAGTAGGCAAAGGTTTGAAGATAAAAATGAAGTGGTCATGAATTTGTAAATAAAGGCAACAGTAGTATACCGCTGTTCGAAATTCATAAATCGATTGAGAAAAAAACAAAAACCGGGTTACAAACTAAAACTGAGGGAAATACATCAAATATAAGAGGAGAACTACGACACAACAGAAACACAACATTAAAATGTAACACACACAGAAACAAACTATAATATAACAATGGCTATTTTCCTGACTTGGTACAGGACAATTTAAGAAAAAAAATTGTGGGTTGAACCTGGTTTTGTGGCAAGCCAAACCTCCCGCTTTTATAGCAATGTTAAATATAACATTAAAATGACAACATTACATGACAGGACTATATTACAAATAAATGTGAGAACATATAGGACAGAGAATCATACGAATAATAGCTAACAAAAGGTACCAGGTTTAAAATTTAATACGCAAGACGCGCGTTTCGTCCACACAAAAAGGTTCCAAAAAGTTGTGCCAAATACGACTAAGGTATATATGTCTGGGATAAGAAAATCCTTAGTATTTAGAATAATTCATACTTTAGCAAACAGTAAATTTATAAAATTGACTATATAATAGATATACATGATAACACCGAAGTGGTGACTAACTACAGAATAAAAACGCATACATAAAACAACATAAACCAGCACATAAAAATTCACAGCCGAGTTAGTCAAAGAGATCAACGCACAAAGTGACGTCACATTTGAATTTCTAACAAGTTTTGTAAACTATTCAGCAGTTTTGCCAAAATGAGTTTAAAATAAATATCATTTTCACCAGCACTTTAAGTACACTGGACATGTTGCTAACGAAGATTAAGATTAACTTTACTTACAGATAAAGAAGATTGTAAAGACTATCAAAAATCCCAACAGGAAAATTGGACAACTTATTTTGATGTAAGAATCTGCAAGAATCAAACAGTAATGTAGTTGTAACTAATCACACTTTGAGAGAACATAATTGTATGAATCTTAGTATACAAAAAGCTTATTTTCTAACGGGAATTCTACATTAAATTATTCATCAACAATTCTTTTAAAGAACAATATGACAGGGAAAATATTGATCCAATTATTATTATATTTAGGACAGTAATTATTATCCCAATATGTCATATTTCTATACCCACATATGTTTTATTCATGAGACCAGTAAACAGTCTCTGTGGTCTCGTTTGCGGTTAGTTGTTGGTTTGATAACCAGCTATATGAACCATTGGTATCTATTGTTAATTTACTTTCGTCATTCGATATATGTTTGGATTCATTCCATTTAGTCATTCATACTTATCCTGTATGATATTAATAAAACTTCGTCAGTAGACATATAAATTCAATTACACTTTCTAATGCAACATCGTTTGTAACGTTAATTTTGATTGGATAACGTCACCAATTTTCACGGCATCAATTCCCAACTCGCAAAACCATTTGAAACATATTAACCAAGAGAGTTCATGTGGAATTGCATGGATTTTAACGGAATGTTACTGAGTGCGTCTACATGGAAAGTATTCCCTAAGGCGCCTCGGTGTCCAAGTGGTCTAAGTAGTTCAACTACTGTAATAACTAGCCAGTCAGCACTGAGATTGTGAGTTTGAACACCGCTTGTGCGGGTACACTCGACTCCAATCCTTATTTGACTAGGATTGTCAGTTTTCCTATCGAAGGTTGGTGGTTTTCTGCGGACTATCCGGCTTCCTCCAGCAATAAGATTTGGCCGCAAAAGTGGCGCTTAAAAGTGGCGTTTAAACACCAACAATCAATCAATAAATAAGTATGTCCTGATTGAGTATATAAATCAATATCGACAATCAAAGTGCCACAACAAGACATAATCTGTGAACCTTTATGGCAGACAACTCTTGTGACCGCGAAAGAGTTGGAATGTATATTCCCTTATCGACCAACCAACCCTTGAAGGAGACCGTACAAATAATGAAGTTGTAATTTAGCATAACGTGGTTAGCCGAGTAAATTTGAATATGCTTACAGATATTGGAGGCTGAATAATCCTTTAAAAATGTCAACTTGGAGAAATGCAAGTTCATTTCGTTGCAGTTGCCTAAAAAGATAATTAAATGTATAGAATTTGAAATACAAATGATAGAAACACTCATTTTACGTATACATCATTACTCATTAAAGATGCCAAAAAGTTTAAGCTAAGAGGTATAATGTCGTAGTAGTCTTGTATAAAAGTAGAAAGCATCTATAATCAGTTACAGAAAATAGAGGTAGGATTTCTCGAATTGTCTTATCTAGACAAAAAAGAAAGAAGAAAATTAGAAAGAACTCATAATAACTATTGGTTATTTGTTTTTTTTTTTAATCATATATATCACGTTTTAACCATCAATTAATACGTGCAAAGCTCTTGTTGAACTGGTAGAGATATAACTTATTCTTCTGTAGCACCTAGGGTCATTTTCAATTTTAAGTGAGGTTTGTGTTGCCAATATTTTATTATCTGTATTATGTTTAGAATACTGTTCTTGTTTTTAGAATTTTTTTCTCATTTGCATTGTGTTGACTGTCTATTCGAGTAGTGGTTTTCTCTTTAGTTATAAACACTCGTATGAATAGTTTTGACATACAGGCTGAGTTTTGATGTATTTTAAGTGTGGATAGTTTTAGTTTCTTTCGACATTTATTCAGAATGTGTCAAAAATGTAGCTCTATAGTTAAAACCTTGTTGATGATTTTTATTGTAATTTTTCATTGATTGATATTGGCCGAGCTTTCATTCATGAAGTCTTTGTCACGACCCAAATCAATTAGCATGGACGTAAATAAAACATCTGTATTGGTTCATACAAACCCGAGACGCGTCATCAAATGAATGAAGGTTTGATGTAAACTTTAATGAAGTAATAAAAAAATAACATTAAATAAATTTTGGGGATGAATAAATACGTCATACGTCATGCTGTTGCCTATTTCTGCCATTTTAACCTATTATGTCTGTTTGTTTTGTTCATACATTGTTGTCAATATAATGGAATTTTATGCGACTGTCATACAAGTGAGAGGTGTAGCTAGCTATAAAACCAGGTTTAATCCACCATTTTTTACGTAAGGAAATGCCTCTAACAAGTCCGGAATATTACAGTTGTAATCCTTTCGTTTGATGTGTTTGAGCTCTTGATTTTGCCATCTGATTAGTGACTTTCCGTTTAGAATTTTCCTCGGAGTTTTTGTTATTTTACTTTTTAAGAGCTGTATGACCAAAAGTATTATTAAATATATCAAAGATACGAGGCTTATGATTTGGTACGCCAGGCGCGCGTTTCGTCAGCGGGACGCCTACCAGCGGCACTTGTAGATAAAGTTGGAAGATAAAATAAATTCAAAACTAGGAGAAAATTGAAACCAAAAAAGTTAAAATGTGTGCTCATTATGACTTAAGTCATATATGTTTGTTGCTAGTTAAGCCTTACATCAATGTATTTCGAATACTTCAACATTATATAAAAACAATTCTTTTTTATAAAGACATCTTAATGTCATCTTACATCGGTCAAAAATAAACATGACATCAAGTTCAAAGATTAAATATTTCGGAAACATAGACAGGCGGCAAAATTGACATTTGGCACCAACAACTAAATAAACAAAAAGTTAACAGATATTTCGGAAAATTAACTGGATGATCACCTCGTTTGAATATAGATTTCCTTGTTATTAATGACCAATTGATTTTTTGAGATATCATGCTACAAGTACTTCAGGTCTCTTAATAATGCAATACTGCAACCTGATACTAAAGTTGTGTTATTACAAAAGACAATGTTTATTTGCCTCAGACTGTTTGTTAAGTCTTTGAACTTAATGCATCGGAGATGTACTGATTGATATTTAATTAGCTTTCAGTTTTATGATTTGATCAGATCTTTTGAGTCAAACCCATTTAAGCTGATTTTGACAGTACTTTTGAATGTTATGTTGTTACGACACTGCCAAACATTGTAGATTCAAGGAATGATAACGATATTGTATGCCAGTTAAAATACCATAGGAACGATGCATGTACAAACACTAACTTAGCTTTTTATGTGGATGGAATGCTGTCTCATTAGAATATACGTCACAAGTAGTTATTAAACATATCACAGGTTTAAGCTGTTTCATTAGTTTGAACATCATGTCTGCAATAATAATATGTATTAGATAAACCTTGAGGGCGTTACCCCGAATGGGTGTTTTTAATTTACACCATGGTAGTTTTCAAAAAGAGAGGCGAAATATACCAGAGGGACATTCAAACTCATAAGTCGAAAATAAACTGACAACGCCATGGCTAAAAACGTAAAAGACCTACAGACAAACAACAGTACACAAAACACAACATAGAAAACTAAAGACTAAGTGGTTGTAAAAGAGAGGCGAAAGATACCAGAGGGTAATAATTTAGGAGTTGGTCTTTCAGCGATTTGACCATATGCTATTGAAAAGCATGAAAATTCAGGGTATCCAATTTCATCTTATGACATCTTGGTGCAACTGTACTCACAATACTTGTAAGAAACTTAGGTTGTTGAAAATACCATCTGGTAGCTCAGTCAGCTGATTTCCATATGCTGTGCTGGAAAATATAAACAAAAAAGGAAAAATATTTGAAATAATACGCATAATTATAAAAATAAGAAGATGTGGTATGATTGCCAATAAGACAACTCTCCACATGAGACCAAATGACACAGAAATATCAACTATAGGTTACCGTTCGGCCTTCAACAATGAGCCAAACCCATACAGTTTAAATTTATTAAAAATGAATAACATTGAATTAAAAAATGTGAATCAAACTCCTTTATATTATGTAAGGCTTGTAATTGGAAATACTCTATAAAGAATACATTAGTATTTTATATGCCTTCACGATCGTCTAATAGTAGCTAGCCAAGTAGGATCACATTACCTGATTTTAGGTTTGTAAATCAAGAGGGGGGGATAAACTTCGTCCCGGAGGAATTATTTTATAATAATAATAAATGAATTTGACAATTGCACCGATAGTAATGCTTAAAATTGGTAAGGTTTAACTATTGGATAACCTGCCAAATAATTCACAAATGTGAGGTACAGTTCGTTTTAATACATGTAAAAACGTTTGAAATGTTTCAAGGAATACTTAAAATATCATTTATACCAAAAAAGGACGGTAAGAAATTCCTTTCCACGGATTTTGTAGAATTTGAAATTTGAATGGCATCTTTCCTATTCCACGACCAATGCCTGATTTATCAACACTATCCAATATATTTGATGTTTTCGTTTTACGTTTTCGGTTGTTGAATGCTATATTGAAAAATGTGAGATATTGAGTTTTAGTAACGTAATTTTGTTAAGAAAAATAATACTTACAAAGTTTGTAGAAGTGATGTACTATCAAATACCCCGACATATAACGTAGTTAGCATGTTGTTATTTACCAAACTGGAAAATATAAGTGTTAATGATCAAATCTTCGTTCAATATGGTCTTTGATAGTTTTTGCTAGATTGGTGGTTTCTACATGCCATATAGCAATATGACATGCATATTTGGACGAAATTTGTTTAATATTAAATTATTTTTTTTTATTGAACTAAACCGACACACCTATTGGATTTAAACATGGGTACAGAATGTAGCTCCATAAGTAACATTTCACAAGCTAAGAGACTTATTATCCAAATTTGACCACTACATTCGGACTCTTAGCCTACACATCTGTTATCCTCTAACACTTAAATAACGTTTGCTTGAACATGTTGAACGAAAACAAAAATTTTAAGAACACAAACCAAACAGGCCACAACTTTCCGAACTTGAAACGAGGACGCAAGCATGAAGCTAAAGAAATTTGAATTATATTTCAAATTAAATGCCTAACTGTTTCCTCTTGTAAATCAGCGGTCTTTGACAAGAGCAATCGATTCTAATATAGAAACCATAAATGGATTGTTTTCCCAAATATTCAATGCTAATACTTCGTTCACGGCAGTTGTCTTGTATATCCTATTGATTTCATTATGATAGTTATCGGTCTTTTATGAATATTTCAACTCCACACGTTATACCTACATTTTTTAGTTCCCTTATATTAATTTAAAATTTTCAGGTAACCATAGTTACCATATAAAGAGTCGTACTGCATATAATAATAATTCATCTTATTGGACGTTATTTTCAAAGAATAGACGTATCTATTTTCCAAAGCATATCTCACCACACAATCTTCGAGTACTGGATGTATATTTAATTGACGGATTTTGATATACTTTGACGATTTTCAATAAAATAGGTAGTGGGTCAGAGGTCGTTAGTTCATGTCAGTCATATTAGTTTTTTTTGTAAAAAGTTTTGTTATAAATTAGTCTGTTAGATTTGTTTGAAATGTTTCACATTTTTCATGTCGGAACCTTTTAGAGACGACTATACGGTATGGGATTTTCTTATTGTTAAAGGCTGTATGGTGACCTTCAAAGGTTTATGTCCAGTAATTTGAACCCAGGTAGAAAGTTGTTTTATTGGCAATCATACCATATCTCCTTATTTTTGTAATGTTTTGTCATTCTCCTTATAGCGTATTAATTACAAAAATATTGATATGTGTTTAGTTTTATGCTTTTGGCTTTAATTTTGCGTGTGTATTTTTGTAATGTATGACAATAATTTGAAGACTATAAAGACATACATAAGAACGTACAGATGCATTAGGTAATATAATTTCTTGAAGAGTTGTACTGGTATTGATGTTAAAAAGTTTGAGCTGATATCCCTGCAAGTATAAGTCAGACACACATAGATAATAAAAACACACAGATACTAAAATCCTAAGATATTTTATATCCTTATGTATCCGTACTCCTGAAGATGAAAGAGGTGCGTTTAAGTCTTAGATACTATGTTCCTGTATTAAAAACACATTGAATACTACAAACTTTAAAAAAAAACACCGCTACAACAGTATTATAGTGGAAAAGACACTTAATAAGTTTTACTATCATCATCCCAAATTAATTAACCGATATGATGTGTCTGTTTGTCAAATCAGTTGCGATATATAATCACGTTCTTTTGATACACGAATAGTTTACTGTCACCATCCCAAATTAATTAACCGATATGATGTGTCTGTTTGTCAAATCAGTTGCGATATATTATCACGTTCTTTTGATACACGAATAGTCTTCTCATCTGTCAATTTACCGATTATAAAAGTTAGTGATTAGCATGGCGGCTGATGCAGAGAGGTTTATTCTATCTGCCTAGGTGTCGTTTTTTAAATTTGATTTGGTTTTACATCAGTAAACTACTACTGCCTCTAGTTCATTACTGGATACCACTGACAACTTATTACGTTCATCGCTGATTGTGACACATTACTGGATATTATAAATTACTTGTTCTGACTCATTATCAAGAACTGTCAGGTTACTGGTACTTTTAAATGATGTATTTTTTTCAGATATTGTACAACATTAGGAGTGTTATTTAACCCTTACAGTGTTTCAAGACTGAAGAGATGATCAAATATCCCGGCTTCCAAGGTGACCAATTTGTTGTCTTGCAGATATCTAAAATTCATAAATACTATTTTGAAATAATTTGTTTCTTTGGTAAAGAATATAAGGATGCTTTTCAAAACGGTTTGAACGAAAGAACTATGCGGACAATTTCAGATTTTATCGTCTGTTCCATGAAGAGCAGGATCTTTTTACTCTTCCCTAGCTACCGATATGAGATCATTTATCATGAATTTGTTTTTTTTTTTTATATCATTCATTCCCTAATGAAATAAGTCAAACAATATAAAGTGTTATTTTAAATCTGTTAGATGCGGGATAAGAAGTGCTCAAGTACAGAGCATATAATTTTTTTATTCATTATCAAATATCACAAATAAATAATCAAAATATGTCTCATTACCGGTAATTACAAATCGCTTTTTACAAGATGTCACGTGAGTGGGATTCGTGTTGGTCTGTCTTTAGCTTGATATGTATTGTTTTATAGACGTTTTATTGTTCAGTTTTTGTATGGTGTTGTCGGTTTCTCTCTGACTTATACATTTTGATTTTCCTTTGGTATCTTCCGCTTCTCCTCTACTGAATGTTAAGTACCGGATATAACCAATTATCGGCAATTTGTACATTTTCCCTTTGATTTTACAGTCTAAAATTTTTAAGATCATGGACAGGACATGATACTCAAAAATATTAGGCAATGGCGTCATGTATCAGTGCTGCAGATTCGTGTGATCAAGTCCATCCACGTCAATTTATCAATGAATTCACGCAATTTCAATTATAAAACCGAACAACCATCCCATCGTTTTGTAAGTGTAAAAGTTGTTTTTCTTACTATTTCATTTGACTTCATATTCTCAACCAAAAAGTATACAGTTTTGACAAATTGCCGATAAACAGAACTAGAGGCTCTAAAGAGCCTGTGTCGCTCACCTTGGTCTATATGCATATTCAACAAAGGCCACTCTCCAACATTGTAGACGAGAATAGAATTAATGACAAAAATCTTTGTTCTTTTTTTTTATCTTATATTGCTGATCATTGAAGTCTGTTTAGTTTCTCTCTATCTTATTATGCTTTTGCTCCAAACAAAAAAGAGGAAGAACAATTTCCTAATTTAAGGGCAATAACTCCTATAAAGAGTAACAGTCTACTAAATATATCAGCAAAATTTGACTTGTTAGTATATCTTATCGTGCTTAACATTTTGATTATTTAAGTTTCTATCTATCTATTATAATTTTTATCATATACGACATAACGCAAAGTAAATGGTAAAATTTTTCGTTAAAGGGCAATAACTCTAATAAGGAGTCAACTTACGATTTCAACCATAGACTTATTTGTAGAACTTGTCCTGATTATATTTGAAAATTAAAGTTTCTCTCTATCTGTTATAGTTTTCAAGATAATAGGCAAAAACGAAAAAAAGTGGTAAAATTTGTCATTTAAGGGCAATAACTCCTACAGGAAATCGTCTGACAGTTTTGACGTATATAGACAATTGGTAGAGCTCAACATTTGAACACTTTTACCCTTTCAGATTTCCTCTAGTTATAACGGTTATCAGAATAATAGACAAAATTTGCATTTTACCTCATATGTTCTATTTTTAGCCACGTCGGCCATATTTGTTGGTAAGCAGGGTCATTGGACACATTTTTAAGATTAAATACCCTAATGATGATTGTGGCCAAGTTTGATTCTATTTGGCCCAGTAGTTTCAGAGGAGAAAATTTTGTAAAAGATTACATAAATTTACGAAAAATTGTGAAAAAAATGAACCTGAAGGGCAATAACTCCTTAAGGGTCAATTGACAATTTTAGTCATGTTAACTTATTTGTAGATCTTATTTTACCAAACATTATTGCTGTTTACAGTTTATCTCTATCTATAATAATATTTAAGAAAATTACCAAAAACTGCAAAATTTCCTTAAAATATCAATTCATGGGCACCAACCCAACAACGGGTTGTCTGATTCGTCTGAAAATGTCATGGCAGATATATCTTAACCTGATGAACATTTTAACCCCTGTCAGATTTGCTCTAAATGCTTTAGTTTCAGAGATATAAGCCAAAAACTGCATTTTACCCCTTTGTTCTAATTTTAGCCATGTTGGCCATGTCGGTTGGTAGGCGGGGTCGTCGGACACATTTTTAAAACTAGTTACCCTAATAATGATTGTGGCCAAGTTTGATTCTATTTGGCCTCAGAGGAGAAAGTTTTGTAAAAGTTAACGGACGACGACAACGGACGACGGACGCCAAGTGATGAGAAAAGCTCACTTGGCCCAATGCCAGGTGAGCTAATAATGGCACATTATTTTTTGATGACCTCATCAGCACGAATATCAGCTCGCCCTAGCGGGTTCGCTTGATTTTCTTGCTGATAAAGTCAGTATCAAAAACAAAAATGCCATTATTCTATATTAACTGGATCTAACTCATTAGTGGATATCACGAAACTACACATAAAACATATAAAATGTCCTTCAATCTAGGCCTATAATAAGCTGATCATTAACTTTTGTAATTAAACATATGGAAATAGTGGAATTCGCTATTTTAGAAGTGTAGAAACTTCTTTACATGTTTTTTATCAATTACGTGTTTTCGTGGTCCTATAAATTTGGTTAACCCTTTACACTACACTTCTGTACAATCTTATAAAACAAAAGTTTTTCCGAATTAATAAAATGGTCGTTTAAAAGATAATTGCAAATTTAATTGCTGCAACTCATTTAAATATAAAAAAGAAGATGTGGTTTGTTTGCCAATGAGACAATTCTTCACAAGAGACCAAATGACACAGAAATTAACAACTATAGGTCACCGTACGGCCTTCAACAATGAGCAAAAACCCATACCGCATAGTCAGCTATAAAAGGCCATAAAAGACAAATGTTAAACAATTCAAACCAGAAAACTAACGGCCTAATTAATGAACAAAAAAATGATCGAAAATCAAATATGTAACACAGCAACAAACGACAACCACCGAATTACAGGCTCCTGACTTGGGAATGGCACATACATACAGAATTTGACGGGGTTAAACATGTTAGCGGGATCCCACCCCTCCCCTAACCTGGGACAGTAGTGTAACAGTACAACATAAGAACGGACTATAAAAATCAAGCCTTCTTGATCTGACTCATTTGTTATCAAATAGTCCGTTTCTATGTATGTTGGTGTTTGTTTTTGTAGCAGTTGAGTGTTTGTGTTGTTCCGTTGTTTGCCTCTTATAGTTGATATGTTTCCCTCGGTTTTGGTTTGTGACCCGGATTTGTTTTCGCTTAATCGATTGATGACTATTGAACAGCGTTATACTACTGTTGCCTTTATTCATTGATGTATATTACTAAAAAGTAAAATGAAAAAAATACCGAACTCCAAGGAAAATTCTAAACGGAAAGTCCCTAAGCAAATGGCAAAATCAAAAGCTCAAACACATCAAACGAATGGATAACAACCGTCATATTCCTGACTTGGTACAGGCATTTTCTTATGTAGAAAAAGGTGGATTAAACCTGGTTTTATAGCTAGCTAAACCTCACACTTGTATGACAGTCGCATAAAATTTCATTATATTGACAACGATGTGTGAACAAACAAACAGACATGCCAAAAATAGGGGTACAGCAGTCAACATTGAGTTATAACTTATTCCACAACAATAGTGGGAATAAGCACTAACTGATTCTGACTCATAATTAGATATACACAATACTGATTGTGAAGCCTTATTGGATATAGACACACTGGTTCTGAATATTTGGTTTTCCATTCTCTTGCACTTCACATTTGATTTGGCCTTCTTGACTTATTTGATTCAAGTGTAACTGATGAGTCTTTTGTAAACGAAACGCGCGTCTGGTGTAACCAATTTATATTAGCTTTCTCTTCCTAAAAAAGGGATATTACAATGTTTTATAGTGCTTGAGAGATATAAATACTGTTAATTAGTCCTCACAATTGTTCAAGGCTGTAGAGATTATCGAATATTCCGGCTTCCAATGAAATTAACATATTGCCTTCAAGTAATCTAAAAAGATATAAATACAATTTTAAAATTATTTTACGAGACAACTTAACTTAAAGAAATGTGTTAAATTTTCAGACTGTACCTTTTGTTCCACATCTAGAGCTAGGTCTTCTTATCCTTCGGGAGCACCTGAGATCACCCTATGTTTTGGTGGTTTAGTGTTGCTTATGATGTTGTTTGAATTTTCAGATTTTGCCATGATGTTGTCGGTTTTTCGTCGGCTTATGAGTTTTGAGTCTCCCTTCGGTATCTCCCGCCTCCTTTTTATGAAATAATTCACACTATATAGATACCTTCGGAGACAAACAGTCTACCAGCAGAGGCATCGACCCAGTGGTTGTAATTAAATAAACGGTACTAATTTTATTGCACCAGATGCGCATTTCGACAATAAATATCTCATCAGTGATGCTCGATGCCAACATATTTAAAAACCAAATCACTAATACAATCTTTGAAGAGCAAATCAAATCAAAATTGACCTAAAGTATAGCCAAATTCGAAAAAGGAATCATAGCTTTGCACGAGAGAGATTTATTCCTTAATTTTAAATAATTTTATTTCCTTAATGTTATAACAGGGAATTTCAATTAAGCAATATCCGTATATATGTAAAATGATAATTTCCAAAGGTAGTAACAAACATATGTGATTTCTTCCATAATATACTAAACATTCTGCTAAAAATACTCTTTTTGGCAAATCTAATTACTTTCTAAATGAAGCCTTCAATATGCTTCAATGCGTCTGATGTCTGTTGTTTGTCTTTAAAATCGGACCAATGAAGACAAGTTATAGTATTAAGGTGAAAATTTTCTATTTTTTCACAAAGATCATTTTTACCGTATGAGAAAATAGGTTTAACAACCCATGTGAATTTGAAATCATTCCTCCTATATCATGACGAGTCTGTTGCCAGGGTTATCTGTTTTACAGATGTCGACGGATATGTTCCAATTGTCGTAACGGAAATCCCATTATATTTCCCTCGAATGTGATCAACCGAATTAGACTTATTACAAGTTTTCTACTTACAGATCAACACGACGGGTGCCGCATGTGGAGCAGGATCTGCTTGCCCTTCAGAAGCACCTGTGATCCCCTAGTTTTGTTTGTGTTTTCTTGGTTCGTGTGTGTAGTTGTCAGTCTTTAGTTTTGAAGGTTGCATTTTTTGTACTGAGTTTGAATGTCCCTTTGTTGTTTTTTTCCTCTTTTTCGATGTACAGTGTTACATATTTGGTGCAACCGACATTTTAACCCCAAAAAATCCTAATTGAGAATATGTTGGTTTTTTTCATGAACCTTGAATTTGAAGATCAACTGAACTATGTGAACATGGATATATGATTTTTTTATATCTCAGTTTCATTTTGTTTGACCTTTATTTGTCATTTCCTTATCGATTTACGATATTTGAACATCGGTAAACTACTTTATCGCCTTAATATATAGCTCATTTAAGGTCAAGGAACAAGATATTGGATACTTCACAGATTTTGCTTAAATTTTGCATACAACCTTGGACTATACATGTAATTGAATTTCGAAAAAATAATGCATTTATCTCTTTTATTATCTGAAAATTTACTGATTGAATTCCTTCAAAATAGGTGGACATTTATATAGAAAGAAAATTAGATCGGCAAAAAACCTTCTTAAATTTGTCTTAAAATTATCAACTCTCTAATTTCTAATACACAGATTTTTCTTTAAAAAACCTATATGTTATTGATACATAAATTTCCGTTTTAATGATATCAAATAATCATTGGTCACCGACCTCGTTCTTTTGTCTAATAATCAATCTGTTGCCTAATTGGTAGTGAAAAACGTAAAACATTTACGTTTTACGCCCTGAAACGCGATGACGTCACGACTATTTTGACGTTTTGTTGTATTTTTCACATAGAACAAACTTTGAATGATGTTTACCGTACAAACGAAGTCAGTGACCATATCATTATTTTACATACAAAACTCACACCGCATAGTAAGCTATAAAAGGCCCCGAAATGACAAACATAAAACCATTCAAAACTAACGACCTAGTTAATGTACAAAATAATAAACGAAAAACAAATATGATACAGCAACATACGACAACCAAAGTTCTCGTTATAGCTCTGTAAGAAATCAATTGTTAAGTCTCTGAAAACGAAGCAATTAGTTTCGAATTATAATGTTAGGGTATATCTAGGATTCGAAATATTAATATTAATTAAAAAAGAAATTTTTACATACAGTGTTATGAGATTTCTCAGCGATTTGAATATTCCGATAGGAAGCGAGACCAACTTGTTCAACTTTAAATCACTGAAATGACAAAAGGTTTTCATTAACGATTCTGTTGTTTAAATTATTAACAATTATATTTATTTCCTATCTGAGGACTATTGAAAAGGAAAAAACAATGTTTCCAAATTAACTAGTTGTTCAAATATACACTCCATATTCATTATCTTTATATTAGAAACTGCAGCCTGACTGTAACATGTGTGTAATCAGCTTTAGGAGAAAGATAAGTAATCCTTATAGCCGGATTAAGTCTAATTGTTAATACAAGCAACAGCATGATATGAGGAGCATACAATTATAGCCTTCGTATGAGGTCGATATGCTTCTCTATGTCGATATAACATCGTATTGACATCAACCAAAGGCTACAATTGTTCTATTATTAATCAACAACTATTGCATGAACAATGCACAATTGGAATTTCTAGAATGTATTTTTAGTAACATAATGTATGCCCTGTGCAATATGTTATTATTGACCTTCGAAAACATAAAGACAAGAGTATTGGCGTGAAAACTGGGTCAATACAAATGTACATGTGATCAAGTTTTAACGAATCACAATCCTTAAAAATATTTGATTAAAAATATTGACGTATACCCCACATTTTCTTTTTTTTTCACATATGTAATACAGAGTGGTGACCAATATCATCAAATCCACATTAGATTCCGAAGGACGTAGAGTAAGCAAATGTAATACAATATATAACAACTACTAGTGTTTATTATCTCAAAATATTATTAATCGTTGTACTCTACTCGATCAGTAAATTCTGGCAAGCTACTGTTTCCAAGCCTTGATCAAATACATTTCGTATTTTGAGACAGTGTAGTTATTCCATATGTATGTTCGGCTAGTATATTACACAGTGCTTGATATCATTAATTACAAACCAATGTTAAGATAACGGCAGAAGTTAATCCATCTTGGCCATGGTGATAAAGGATGTTTTATTTCCAATTAAGACTGCAAATTTCAAGAGACGACTAGAGTACTCATATTTTCGGAAATTGTGTCATTTTTTATTGTAATCCTTGTATGCACAGATGTATTTTCTTTAAGGAATGACTGTAATATTTTTCTGTCTATGAAGAAATAACACCAAAAATGTGGTGCACACTGAATAACCCGAGTAGCGGGTTATTCTAAAGTGTGCACCACATTTTTTATGTTATTTCGAATAGACAGAAAAAATATTACAGTCATTTCTTATAATTTAATTCTAAATTCCATTTTAAACCGGAGTAAACCATGAAAAAACGTTGATGACGTCCCGGTCACATGACAAAATTATGTCTATGAGCTGATAAACAAAACAACGTCAGCCAATCAGAAGACACGTTACATCCAAAATTAAATTATTTAAAGATGTTTGCTCCACTGTTTAAAAAAGCAAGCTTTAAACTGAACTTCAAAGGTAGAAAACAAACTACAGGTCAAGGTCGTTTTGTTGTTATTGAGGTATAATCAATTGAAAATTTGGTGCGAAATGATTCGCTATAATAGATTTTTCTTACATTAAACATTGACGTCTTTTTTCTTTCAAAAACTATGAAAAAATAACGATGATTTTATAAGATTTTTAAAAATAGCTTTCTAAACTATACGTAATAAAATTAGGAAAAGCAAAGAAGGGGTTAGCCGGAAAAATTTTGATTGGTACTGCAGGGATAAAACTAGAGATTCTGAATACCTGACAAAAAGACAAAAACAAAAGTAGCAAACATCCTTAATAATGTTTGATTTTTACAGTGATGATGGTGATATGGTATTTTTGAAAATGTCAAATTTCAGTAATAATCCACGACTGATAATTTCAACATATATCTTCAAATCTAAGTTATACGTACAGTTGCAGGAGACCTTGCAATGGGTCAAACACTTCTTCCGGTAACTCAACTAACTCATTGTATTGAAGTCCTCTGAGATATTATATAAATAAATGTAAATCAAAATCAAAATAAATGAATAACGAGAAAAAATAATAAAGAAGTTTTTTGATGGTATTGCATATGCAAATGCAATACACTTCTGCTACCGTCACTAATGTTAAAGAAAAGAGCATATAGGCGAAAGATACCAAAGGGATATTCAAACTCTTTTTAAAAAAAACCCAGACAAAGTAAGAGAAAAATGTAAAACAAAAGATAAAAAACACCGAGGGAATTTTTCCCAAAAGCTTAAACCGAAAATAAGATTGTATGACATAAACCCCACTAACTAACCTTATCTGAAGGTGAATTTCGAAAAATCGTCGGACCCATGAAGTTTATAAAGCGTTATTTCCATCTCGTAAAAGAGGGACGAAAGATATCAGAGGGACAGTCAAACTCATAGATCAAAAACAAACTGACAACGCCATGGCCAAAAATAAAAAAGACAAACAGACAAATAATAGTACAGATGACTCAACATAGAAAACTAAAGACTAAGCAACACGAACCCCACCAAAATTCTTTCTCTACCTCAACAATGTATTCATACACGTATGATTATTCCGTAATTTTTTATTATTGAAACAAAAAATTCTAAACAGTATTTGTGATGTAATTTTTATTAAATGTTCTCAAACTAGTGTTTAAATTTTCAAATTTTATCGATGTTCTATTCAACTGTTTTCTAAAAGAAAATCAATAGTTAACGAATAAATTAAATAAAATCATTTTTAATTCAATTATGTCTTACTGCAGAAACA